TTTCTCTCTTATCGATGTTTCTAACTCTCTATCCCTCTCCCTTCCTCTCTGTAAAAAATCAATAAAATATATTTTTTAGAAAATTAGTCTTGCTCTTTTTGTGAACTAGATGTTGACTGATCCAGGAACAGAAAAAGAGCTAGGATTCACATATGTTTATTTAGCTTTTATTTTCAATTTCAATTTTTCACCCTCAAATATCTATTTGAGGATTATTTTAATTTCTATTAGAGGGTGTAAGTTAAGATAAAGTTCAATTTGCAATAAATCCCTATTCCTTTAGGAATGGTGCTGTGTTCTATATTTTTTCCTATTTGCAAGTATTTGTAAAAATGAAATAAGAGAGATAATATAATAGAAAAAAGTGTGCCAAAATAAGAATCTTTTATCTATCTATCTATCTATCTATCATCTATCTATCTATCTATCTATCTATCTATCTATCTATCTTCTATCTATCATCTATCCATTATGTTTCAGTAAATTATAAATAGCAATTACAATAAATGTATAATAATTTGGTACTATTTTGTGACATAAAACAGAGTTTTATATCTACTTATCCAAAGGCCCTGGAATAAAGCCCCACAGAGTAGAATCACAAAGAGAAAGTCTTTATTCACCTAACAGGAGGGTCATTGTGAAAGTAAGACTCCTTTCCCTCTGGCCATAAGCAAAGGTTTTATATGACTCAGGGAAGTGGGTTGAGTAAAAGGAACATGGAAACAAGAATGTGATGTGCTAAGCAAGGCAGGTCTCAAAAGCAAATGGCTTAAGGGCAAGCAAGGCTGGGGAAGGAAATTCCACAGGTTCAGGTTTAATAAGGACATCTGACAGCTTAAGCAAGTCTTGGTTATAAGCAAGTAGTTTAGGCTAGGCCCATGTCAATGTAGAATTTATGAAAAAGATATTAATTTTTATACAAACACTAGTAACCCTGCGCACGAATCCATGCATTAGTAGGTGGCTGCAGCCCTGCTGTAGCTCTCCGCCTGCTGCCCTGCCTCCTGTAGCTCCCCCCGCCCCCCCTTCATAGCTTGTTGTCCTACCCTCTCCTGTAGCTCTCCGCCTCCCTCTTGCTTTCTGTCCTGCCCCATCCTGTAGCTCTCTGCTACCCGCTTGTAGCCAGTAGGTCGCTGTCACCCTCTTGTAGTTCTCTGTCTACTGCCCCATTCTCATGTAGCTCCCCCCACACCCTGCATAGCTTGCTGCCCTACCCCCTTCTGGAGCTCTGGGAAGCCCGCTTGTACCTCACTGGCCCACCATCGTGCTGATCTGTGATCTGGTCATGATGTACTTGGTCATGACGCCTCAGGGTGTAATGGCTAATTAGCATATTCTTCTCTTATATAGGATGAAACAAGTTGCCAGTGTGTTCTGGGTATCTTAAGTAAGTGCAGGCTTTTATCAGAATTATGACAATGTATACTTAAGATCTGTGCCTTCAATTTGATGTGAACTCACATCAAAAGAAAAAATTTATTTAAAATGATGAACTCTGATGATATGCATGCTACCTGAGGAAAACTATACTGACATCTGAAATTAATTTATAATGTATCAAAAATTAGAGGGAACGACAGGTGCATGCATCAAAGAATGGACCTACATGTAGTAAATGAAGTATAGTAACATATCAATGGTGGAATCTTCATGGATACATGGATGGAAATGGTCAAATTTTTTTAACTCAGCCATGTATATGTTTGAAAATGTCCACAAAATATTTGGACAGACATTGAAAAAAGCACAAAGGCTTAATAAGAGTTGTATGAATATTATGAAGTGTGAAATTTAAAAAAGGCATAAATAAGTATTTATACTTTCTTAGGTAACAAGACAGACAGATGAGAAGCATGTCATAGGGGTGTTATATAAAAAGAGTTTGATTCCAGAATCAGTTTTACCATTATCCTTTAAATAGCCTTGGTGAAATCAAGTAAGTGATAAAATGAAGATAGTATTATGTCCCATAACTTCTCACAATTGTATTGTGAAGACTAATGTTCAAATGACTATGCAAATATAAGTTTGTATTCAAACTAAGGACTCCATTTAATAATACTTCAGGAACACACAAATCCAAAGCCTGCCTTTTATGCACAGATTGGAAGGTCAAAAAGTGAAGTTTTCCTCTGTAATCCTTGGAGGTTTCTTTCTCTTTTATTTTCAGCTGCTGTTAATTGCTGATAAATGGTGGCAATTTGTTAAAAGCAGACAGTATTGTATCTAGTCACTGAGGTAGAGGTGTTGGGGTTCAACCCCAGCAGGTGTGGACAGAGTCGGCGAAGGATTTCTCCTTGACTTAAGCCTGGGAGAGGTGGGAGTTACAAGGCCCGGACAGCAGTTCAAGTTCTCTTGCCTACAAGGGAACCTCTTCCTCCCAGTTCACAAGACGAGCGTTTAGGAAAAGCTGATGCCTTCCCAGGAATGCGCATCACCCGGGTTGGGCCACAGTCCAGAATTTAACTGTTTGCTGTGGCTCTGAGGGAGGCAGCCGCGCTGGTTTAACTGCATGGATAGTTCTGATTGGCTCTGAACTCCCTCCCCCAAATGGATGGGCCTGGAATTCTAGAAATTCCACACCAAAGGGGGACATACCAAAGAGACAGGGAAAGGAAGTTAAAAAACTAGATTGTTGAGAGAAACCAAGATGGCGGCACAGGTAAACACCGGAAATTGCTGTCTCGCACAACCACTTCAAAAATACAACTAAAAGACAAAATGGACGTCATCCCGAACCACAGGAAGGCTAGCCAAGTGGAAATTCTACAACTAGAAGGAAAGAGAAAAGCACACTGAGACTCAGAGGAGGTGTGGAAGTAAAGTACAGAGGTACCGAGGCACATGTGGAAAGGGCTGGCAACTGAGAACGCGGCTGTCTTTTTCAATCGGGAGGGAGACACATCCAGACATCTCTGAACTCCAGTTCAGGGAGAGTCTCTGAGGACCCAGACTCATACCGGGAGAAACTGGACTGTCTGGCATCGGTCGGAACTCGAGGGCAGCTTTCTCTCAGAGGTGCTTGCAGTGATTACTGGGACACTGAGATGTGGGGCCTCTTAGGGTAGGACTGAGGAGCAGCTATAGCTGCTTGCTCCACCCTGTTGATCCCCTGAGACTCCACCCAACCCAAGCTGTGTGCAGAGGCTTTTGCATATGAAAGGCCTGGCCCTTTGCAATCTGAAAATTACCTAACAAACTGCAGCTGGGTCAGAGAAACCCAGAACTTCCAAAAGAAGGCCCAAGGC